GCATGCAGCTGAAGGACACTCCTCCCAGGATGCTTTGCTGGTAAGGAGGAGGCGGGGGTGCAGACTGATGGGGGGTTTGGGATGGCTCCTGCCTCCTTGGCATCATCTTAATAATGTCCTCATATCATGGCATTATGTAATGTGCTATCCAGTCCTGTTTAATCAGCCTCATATACTCTGAGACAAAAGCTGGAGCTGTGTATGAACAGTAGATGTCCACATACTGTATGTCGCTGGTAGGGTTGAGGCTATTTTTGCCTGGATTGCCTCTAAAAAATGAAAAGGGGAATTTGTGAACGGGACATTCACGACAGAACCTGCCACAACTGAACTGATCATTTGTCAACGACCAGTTTAAAGACGCCAAATTATTCCGCAGAAGAGAAAGAGCTTATTTTGTGCACTGGCAGACACATCTGTATATTCTCAGATGCACCAATAACCTTCCTGTTCATGAGTGTGGTTGAGTTGCTTTTTTTCCCAACAAATGACAGTAGAGTTTATATATATCAACTCTATTATTAAATCCTTCATTTATATAAGAACGAAATCCCCCCAAAAGAAGGAATATCTCATGCAGGGCAGCCGAGGAAGGATCGCCTTTTCAGGACAGGGAAATGCGCAGTAGTAAACACTGTATACGCAGATGTCATACTTGTAATGTTTGTATGAGTCTAAGTGGACGCACACAGTGCGTGATGGCGTAACTGTCAGTTTAGGACAGACACAAAAAAAGGGTTGCGACAGACGTTAAGGACGTCGCAGGTTCATAGTGGTGCATTAAACCTGTTGTAATGTGACGGAGTTACAAGCAATAAAAGAAGATAACATTTGACACGACATTATAGTCTGTTTGTTGACACGCAGACAGACATCACAGTACTGTATGTACAGTAGAACAGAGGCTTCTTGCTTGTTGTTTAATGTAGCTAAATGACAAACAAGAGCTCGGAAAGCCCTATGTCAATTATTTTGTCTTTAATAAATGAAAAAGTTTGTATCATCTGAAACTGTTAGGTCCCATGTTATTTTCTAATTTTGAGGTAAAGTCCTGGACACAATAAATTCTGTAGTTCAGCCTATAAATTGCCTGAAAATTGTGAAAAATGCACCTTATATTTGTCCCACAGCATAAAATGCATTTAATTTGCAATGATATAAAACAAAACACACAGAACAATCCCCAGTGTCTCTGGTTCTTTTCCAGTAGGAGGCCGTTGTTAGTTGTTTTTTTTGTCATTCCCCATCTCCCTCCCCTCATTTCCTGTCTACTCTAAGCTATCTAATGAAGGCATAAATGCACAAAGACAGTAATAATATAATTTGTTTATGTAAAAAAAATTGCATTATATATAGTGCACAGACAAGAAGAAGGAGCTCATTTCTGTCTGGGGCCACCAAGCAGGTTAACAATGCAATGATCCTGTGATGGTTATTTTCTGTATGCCTTGGTCTGAAGACACCTTACAACTGATCCAGCTCCATAGTGCAGAGTGTATCTGTGGATTGATACAGGATCTTATCAGACCAGGAAAGGAGGGAGTGCCTTATAGAGCAAAAATAAGGTTGGCTAACATTTCTGCAAGTTCACATTTCTTCATATAGCTAAGTGGAGGTCATACGTGATGCCTGTTTACTTGACTTGTGTAGTTTTAGATTTGAAGGAGCCAATAAATATTGCAACGCATTTTAATTTTGCAATTAATAAATGCAGCTTTGCAGCTTCATAGGATTGCAGTGTGCATCCTGGAAATCCCCCCTACAGTTAAGCTTTAAAAAAAAATTGTGATTAGTTTTCAGATACATCTTTCAAAGAACATAATGAATACAATAAAATTTATATCTAACTTATTCATTATTTTTCTTCAGTGGATACTTACCTTTGGAAACTTTAGTTACGCAGTGTGCGTTTTTGGAAACTTCCATTCTGAGCACCCACAAAGTTCAAAGTACTGCACATCAAAGCTCTGACTTCAGCGTGGACTTTGCAACTTCTCCAAAATCGCAGTAATGAGAGTCCAGCCTCAGTCCCCCCTGTTGAAACTGCCAGGGGTCAGAACCTGCTACTGGAAATTTTTGGCTAATGGTTTGGTGACTGCAGGAAGTGCTCGGGCTCATGAGGATGCATTGGCGATTACACAGTGGAGGAGATGCAGCTGCAGCTGAGACAGATTATCTTATTTCAGATAACGACCCATGGCCAACCTGAGAGATAATACCTTCACACATGCAAAAGAGAGCACCGTAATTAAAACCTTTTTGTTTTGTTTGTGTCGGCCTGTCAGAGTTGGTCTCTTTGACAACCTTGGTGTTGTGAGAGGCTTGGTCCTACCCATTAGGGTGTCACACCTGTTATTCGCAGATAAAAAAAAAATAGCCACCAATTTTTTTCAACAATTCCTTCAACCTGAACAAAAATATACGTTGATTTTCCCTGCCATAGGATATAATCCATATGTAGGACCCTTCTAGTGGCACACTTGCCAGACTTTCGTCATCGTGATAACAATCATAAACAATTATGGAGCTGTCACAATTCATTAGGTTTCAGCACAAGTTTAATAGTTAATTAATAAAAAGACTGGGGTTTGGGTTAGAATAATCTTCACTCTAGCATAATAACGTGGTTAAGGTTGAAGAAAGGTCATGGATATAAAATACATTTCACACAGGGTTTTTTAACATTTTTTTTTACAGGAGGACTCTGTCACTGTTTTTTTTTTTATAAATAGAAGTGTGTATTTGTGACCAGTGTGTAGTGGGATCTGGTGAGTTTGGAGCTGACTGCCACAGATGGAAATCTGTATTGTTCATTCTGGTCTTTTCATGGGATTTGCTGTAAATATGAACTATTGCTTCTTTATACAATGAATGCATATTATTATTGCTCATTGTTAACCTGAGGAACTCAATACTGGCTCTTTATTGACCCAGTAGATGTTTATGTTTTTGTAGTTGTTTATCATAAGCTATACTGTATATTGTTATATTTATGTAATATTCATCAAAATGCCTTTGTTGGTGTGAGAAGGGGTGTTGATGCCATTTGTTATGCTCTAATTCTTTATTTTCCATAGAGCAAATATTTCATAGGCCACATTTTTCAACATGTCATAGATTCACTTCGGTAATCTGCCCGGGCCTGCAGCAGTGCAGTTTGTGAAGAGAGGATTTAAACCATCACGGCTGATTTGACTTGGCCCGGTTATTGAACCGAAAGTTATTTTTGGCCTGATTCACAGCGAGGAACTAAAGACTGGCCAGGATCTATCAGTCAATGATAGAGTTAGTGAGGTGTAGTGCAGATATGGCACAGTGGTTAAGTTAACAGCTAAGCTTATATATCAAATATTCTTTTTTTTTTATTCACTCCAAATCAGAAAAAGAACTGTATGATAAAGAGCTAAAGTTTCAGTAGAGCGAAAACAAAACCATAAAGCATAAACTATACTCCAATGATTTGTATTTCTGAAAACAAATTTGATTAAAAAAAATTAGCAACAATGAAGGAATTGAAACTAATGAAATCCTTCACATTATCCTCCACAAAGTGTTTCCTTCTGCCCCTGACATACAACACATCAGGGAACCACCGACCGGAAACCAGTGACACTGAGGGTCATCAGAATTGGCCCCAGTCAGAGTTTCACTTGACATTTATCACCATCATGTGTTTCTCTCAGTTTAAAAACATCTTGTCAAATTCACACAACATTCATGCTGCAACGCTGCCAGTCAGCGTAAGCAACCTTTTTTTTTTTTTTTTTTTTACTTAGATGGAAAGTTTAAAATTAGGTTTAAGTACTTTCAAGTTTGAAAGACGACTTCTGGTATTGCCTTGCTGTACTCAGGGAAAGCTACAGTAAGGTCAAAGCTGAGACACTGGAGTTTTCTTTAGAGCCAGTATAGCAGCTGGACTCTGCAAAAAATTTCTAGTGAGTCATGTTGAGAGCATCACTCATAGATGGAGACATTTCCTTTCAGATGAAAAAAACCTCTTCACAGCAGTGAATGTGAATGATTAGGGCTTTTTACCCCCAGCTGCTCTGTTGTAAGTAACTCAGTGGTCACAAAACAAGACTGTTGTCATCCATGCAGTCTCACAGGAACTTGATTTCCTCCATTATACCCACTGAAAAGTGACTACCCAAATATGTTTTGGGGAGTTAATGTTAGTTAAGAGTCGATTTAATCAGGGGTTTTCATCAGAAAATAAGGATAACTGTCTATCACAGTGTGGTGCCTTAAAATAGCTCATTCTGATGAATTCTATGAATATATTTGCAATTACACTGTAAAAATAGAGGAATGCAGAAAATTCTCACAACTGTGAGACCAGAACAGAAAGATGTTTGGCACCACAAATTACTACAGTATTAACTATTTATCAAAACAGTTGCTTATATTAGTACAGTATTTAACTTACCAAAGAGCTAACATAAACACATCTGTCGTCTGTCTTTTGAAAAGACAGACGACTGGAGCCTCACATTGTTAAAAAAA